TCATGGAAGGTATCTTACTCGCACCATCTTCGTGCTTGTTATGGCAAATTGGAAAGTCATCTACCGAAGATGGTTGCAGGAACATACATAAATAATTATGTGCCACAGTCCAGGCTCCATCAGGAAAGTGGGAGCCTACGTGACGAGGTGGTCGAGTGGCTAAGGCGATGGACTGCTAACTTATTGTGCTCTGCACGCGTGGGTTCAAATCCCATCCTTGACGTTCAATTGAGAGAGCCAAGTGCTTTCGTGGAAGATGTTTTACTCTCACCCTCTTAGCGTTTTGAAGGAGGTTGTTGCAAGATTTAATTTCATATTTACCAAAAATAGTTGCAAATGCTTACATACATGCCACAGCACAGCCCCCACCAGGAAACTGGGTAAATTCATGACGAGGTTGTCAAGCGGTTAAGGGGATGGACTGCTAATCCACGCGTGGGTTCAATCCCATCCTCGTCGTTCAATTTTTCAGAGAGCCTGGTGCTTCCGCTGAAGTTTTCTGACAACATTCTGAAGATTGTCATGGTTCAGGTGAATCCAACCTGCTGCATGTTTAGTGAAACAACTCTGGCGCAAATTGCAGCATGTTCAAGATCCGGACACTCAGCTATTCTTTTGAACAGAACATTGAGCCTTCTAGGAGGCTGTCAAAAATTGCCAGAGCTGACTGTATTTCAAGCCATCTCGGCGGGGTATTGGGTAAAGTTTTCAACCAACAATGATCACGCCTCGGCTAGGCCTCATAGGCTATGATATTGCCTCTGCGAAAGAATACCAATCTCAACAATGAACTCTTATATCTACCAATCTGGACATGAAACGACAAGGTGGTATCAAACTTTAAACTGCTAGCCATCAGCCTTCTGGCACCAATGAGTGCATGCTGTGTCAGTAGAACAGGTTATTGAAATGCCTAAAAAGAATTACTTATACAGTGTTTCATTTTAACTTAAAGAAAAGTTTACACTACTTTTGTGAATCTGGGAGAAGAGAACTGTGGGTAATGTGGTAAAGGGGGCGGAGTCACAACGCTGAACGGCCGAGAAAATGGCTGAGATTGGGATGCATTTACTGGGCTGTGCAGGGATTGGGGTAAAATAAATAATACATAAATAATTATGTGCCACAGTCCAGGCTCCATCAGGAAAGTGGGAGCCTACGTGACGAGGTGGTCGAGTGGTTAAGGCGATGGACTGCTAACTTATTGTGCTCTGCACGCGTGGGTTCAAATCCCATCCTTGACGTTCAATTGAGAGAGCCAAGTGCTTTCGTGGAAGATGTTTTACTCTCACCCTCTTAGCGTTTTGAAGGAGGTTGTTGCAAGATTTAATTTCATATTTACCAAAAATAGTTGCAAATGCTTACATACATGCCACAGCACAGCCCCCACCAGGAAACTGGGTAAATTCATGACGAGGTTGTCAAGCGGTTAAGGGGATGGACTGCTAATCCACGCGTGGGTTCAATCCCATCCTCGTCGTTCAATTTTTCAGAGAGCCTGGTGCTTCCGCTGAAGTTTTCTGACAACATTCTGAAGATTGTCATGGTTCAGGTGAATCCAACCTGCTGCATGTTTAGTGAAACAACTCTGGCGCAAATTGCAGCATGTTCAAGATCCGGACACTCAGCTATTCTTTTGAACAGAACATTGAGCCTTCTAGGAGGCTGTCAAAAATTGCCAGAGCTGACTGTATTTCAAGCCATCTCGGCGGGGTATTGGGTAAAGTTTTCAACCAACAATGATCACGCCTCGGCTAGGCCTCATAGGCTATGATATTGCCTCTGCGAAAGAATACCAATCTCAACAATGAACTCTTATATCTACCAATCTGGACATGAAACGACAAGGTGGTATCAAACTTTAAACTGCTAGCCATCAGCCTTCTGGCACCAATGAGTGCATGCTGTGTCAGTAGAACAGGTTATTGAAATGCCTAAAAAGAATTACTTATACAGTGTTTCATTTTAACTTAAAGAAAAGTTTACACTACTTTTGTGAATCTGGGAGAAGAGAACTGTGGGTAATGTGGTAAAGGGGGCGGAGTCACAACGCTGAACGGCCGAGAAAATGGCTGAGATTGGGATGCATTTACTGGGCTGTGCAGGGATTGGGGTAAAATAATGAAGCATGCAAGGGCACTGAAATCATATTTGCACACAAATCCAGGGTCAGCTATGCTGCCGTTTTTAGACTCAGGCATTTTGTCTAGTTTCTCTCCAACAAAACCGGAAGAAACACATTGAAGTCAATGTTGAACAATAACTATGGGGCACTGATTCGAGCTATTGAAAAGCTCCTTATGACAAGCTTTAGCTGCATCTTTTTCGTAAGAACCCCCAAGAAACAACAAAGTCCAACTTCCTGCACAACAAGCAGGTAACCTGAGACGAGGTGGCTGAGTGGCTAGGGTAAAAGACTGCTAATCCCTGGTGCTCTGCTCGCGCGGGTTTGAGTCCCATCCTTGTTGCTCGTCCAACTAAAAGTTAAACCTTCCTCTGGCACAAAGTTGTGCTTGCGCATGATGAGGTGGCCGAGTGCTTAGGTTAGTACGCTGTACTCTGCAAGCTTAAATCCCATCCTCGTTGTTTTGGGAGAGGCCACTGCTTCTGTCTAAGGTTTCTTACTTGCACCTCTTAGCGTCTTAAAGGACGTTATGGCAAAAACTTTATGTAATATGTAGCGAAATTAGCGGCAAAAACATACGTACACGCCACAGTCCAGCCTCCATCAGGAAAGCGTATGTATGCGAGAGGAGGGGGCCGAGTGGATAAGGCGATGGCCTGCTAATCCATTGTGCTCTGCATGTGTGCGGTTTAATCCCGTCGTCGTTGTTCATTCAAGAGAGCCCAGTGCTTCCGTGGAAGGTTTCTTACTCTCACCCTCTTAGTGCTTCGAAGCATGTTATGGCAAAATTGAAAGTCATTTGGCCGAAATTAGTTGCAAAAACATACATAAACAAATATGTGCCACAGTCTAGCCTCCCTCAGAAAGGTGGGAACATATGTGACGAGGTGGCCGAGTGGTTAAGGCGATGGACTGCTAATCCATTGTGCTCTGCACGCGTGGGTTCGAATCCCATCCTCGTCGTTTGTTTAGGAGAGGCCGGGGCTTTCATGGAAGGTATCTTACTCGCACCATCTTCGTGCTTGTTATGGCAAATTGGAAAGTCATCTACCGAAGATGGTTGCACGAACATACATAAATAATTATGTGCCACAGTCCAGGCTCCATCAGGAAAGTGGGAGCCTACGTGACGAGGTGGTCGAGTGGTTAAGGCGATGGACTGCTAACTTATTGTGCTCTGCACGCGTGGGTTCAAATCCCATCCTTGACGTTCAATTGAGAGAGCCAAGTGCTTTCGTGGAAGATGTTTTACTCTCACCCTCTTAGCGTTTTGAAGGAGGTTGTTGCAAGATTTAATTTCATATTTACCAAAAATAGTTGCAAATGCTTACATACATGCCACAGCACAGCCCCCACCAGGAAACTGGGTAAATTCATGACGAGGTTGCCAAGCGGTTAAGGGGATGGACTGCTAATCCACGCGTGGGTTCAATCCCATCCTCGTCGTTCAATTTTTCAGAGAGCCTGGTGCTTCCGCTGAAGTTTTCTGACAACATTCTGAAGATTGTCATGGTTCAGGTGAATCCAACCTGCTGCATGTTTAGTGAAACAACTCTGGCGCAAATTGCAGCATGTTCAAGATCCAGACACTCAGCTATTCTTTTGAACAGAACATTGAGCCTTCTAGGAGGCTGTCAAAAATTGCCAGAGCTGACTGTATTTCAAGCCATCTCGGCGGGGTATTGGGTAAAGTTTTCAACCAGCAATGATCACGCCTCGGCTAGGCCTCATAGGCTATGATATTGCCTCTGCGAAAGAATACCAATCTCAACAATGAACTCTTATATCTACCAATCTGGACATGAAACGACAAGGTGGTATCAAACTTTAAACTGCTAGCCATCAGCCTTCTGGCACCAATGAGTGCATGCTGTGTCAGTAGAACAGGTTATTGAAATGCCTAAAAAGAATTACTTATACACTGTTTCATTTTAACTTAAAGAAAAGTTTACACTACTTTTGTGAATCTGGGAGAAGAGAACTGTGGGTAATGTGGTAAAGGGGGCGGAGTCACAACGCTGAACGGCCGAGAAAATGGCTGAGATTGGGATGCATTTACTGGGCTGTGCAGGGATTGGGGTAAAATAATGAAGCATGCAAGGGCACTGAAATCATATTTGCACACAAATCCAGGGTCAGCTATGCTGCCGTTTTTAGACTCAGGCATTTTGTCTAGTTTCTCTCCAACAAAACCGGAAGAAACACATTGAAGTCAATGTTGAACAATAACTATGGGGCACTGATTCGAGCTATTGAAAAGCTCCTTATGACAAGCTTTAGCTGCATCTTTTTCGTAAGAACCCCCAAGAAACAACAAAGTCCAACTTCCTGCACAACAAGCAGGTAACCTGAGACGAGGTGGCTGAGTGGCTAGGGTAAAAGACTGCTAATCCCTGGTGCTCTGCTCGCGCGGGTTTGAGTCCCATCCTTGTTGCTCGTCCAACTAAAAGTTAAACCTTCCTCTGGCACAAAGTTGTGCTTGCGCATGATGAGGTGGCCGAGTGCTTAGGTTAGTACGCTGTACTCTGCAAGCTTAAATCCCATCCTCGTTGTTTTGGGAGAGGCCACTGCTTCTGTCTAAGGTTTCTTACTTGCACCTCTTAGCGTCTTAAAGGACGTTATGGCAAAAACTTTATGTAATATGTAGCGAAATTAGCGGCAAAAACATACGTACACGCCACAGTCCAGCCTCCATCAGGAAAGCGTATGTATGCGAGAGGAGGGGGCCGAGTGGATAAGGCGATGGCCTGCTAATCCATTGTGCTCTGCATGTGTGCGGTTTAATCCCGTCGTCGTTGTTCATTCAAGAGAGCCCAGTGCTTCCGTGGAAGGTTTCTTACTCTCACCCTCTTAGTGCTTCGAAGCATGTGATTGTGACCGTGTATAGGATAAGTGGTAGTGATTGATGTTGATAACAACCAATCAGGGGCCAGTGCTGCCTATTTTAGAGCCGGTTGGCTGTGTTAGGTGATGTCACCTCCAGCCCCGCCTTTCTTGTTCCGCGTTTGTTGACATCTGTTTCAGGTATGTTAGCGGTTGTGTGTGTGTCTCTCTCTCTCTCTTTCGATTAACGTTTGGATTAATCATCGTGGTTTCATTTTTAGCCTGGTTTTTCGTTGGTTTTCCTGTTGGTTGCCATGGAGTTAATGACTGTCACCCATTCAGCTCGCTTGTAGCATAAATGGAGATGACTAATTCGTAATACATGAGTGTACTACTCCCGGCTTGGTAAGTTTCTTATGTAGAGATTTAAGGGGAATGCTAGCGTGTGATTTTGCAAACAGTAACCGTTTTTGCATGTGCATATCTCTTGTAGGATTCTCCCTCTCTGTCCTGGGCGATTATAAATAAAGATCTAGCATCTGTAACATTACTCCGGTTGTGTTTGAAAGATTCTGCTATCCTGAGATCTCTAGTGGAAAGAACTACTACTGTTGTTTACTACTGCTGCCTGCTTCTACTATCTGCTGCTGCTACATTTACTGCTGCAGTTACTACTAGCTGCTACTGCTACCCGCTACTACTATCTGCTGCTGCTACATTCACTGCTGCAGTTACTACTAGCTGCTACTGCTACCCGCTACTACTATCTGCTGCTGCTACATTCACTGCTGCAGTTACTACTAGCTGCTACTGCTACCCGTTACTACTATCTGCTGCTGCTACATTTACTGCTGCAGTTACTACTAGCTGCTACTGCTATCCGCTACTACTATCTGCCTGCTGCTACTCTACTGTTGCAGTTACTGCTAACTGCTACGACTAACTGTTACCTGCTCTATTTACTGCTGTTGTTATTACGACCTGCTACTACTATCTCCTATTGCTACTGTTATATAATTTGTGATTTTTGTTCTGTTTGGTTGTGTGATTCGGTGTGCAAAAGAGTGAGTTTTGTGTTCTGTGTGAATCTTGCTTTTCTATAGCGAAACCACAGAAGCTGTATTTGGTTTTTCTTTTCTTGTGTGTGGTTTGTTGTTTGTTTTACTCTTGTATAATTTATCCCGTATATTGATTTTGATTTTCCTTGCAGGAACTGAGGTCCCATGGGTGCAGGATCTTGAGGTGGTGGTGGTGTCACTGCACTTGACATTTTTGCTGTGGACGGTTTGGGAAGTGTGGAGTGTGTGGATCTAGTGTGGTGTGTGTGTGGAAGTGTGCTTTTTGAACACAACGGAGCACTGGTGATTCCCCCCCCCCCATGTGTGACCTCAGCCCTGTAAGTTAGTTTATTCAATTTATTTCCCCGGTTAATTTCATTTTCATATTTACTTTGTAATAACGTTGTTGTTGTCTTCTATAAATTTGTTTTCTTTTTTTGTTTTATTTTACTGCAGTTGTGTTGGAGGGGGGTGCTGGCAAAATGTTAAGAGAATGTAATGTGACCATTTTAATCTGCCACAAATTCTGAAAATAAATTTTGTATTTTTATACTATACCCACGTCTCTTGCCTATCCATATGAGAACTGAACCTGTGTGGCCTAAGAGTAAGGTTTAAGCCAATTTCTATTTCCTGGGAGAAAACCTCTCAGGTGGCGTAGTCGGATTTGCTTTGTGGATAAATTGTTAATCCCTACTCTTCCCTCCTGCCACATTATGGCAAAATTGAAAGTCATTTGGCCGAAATTAGTTGCAGAAACATACATAAACAAATATGTGCCACAGTCTAGCCTCCCTCAGAAAGGTGGGAACATATGTGACGAGGTGGCCGAGTGGTTAAGGCGATGGACTGCTAATCCATTGTGCTCTGCACGCGTGGGTTCGAATCCCATCCTCGTCGTTTGTTTAGGAGAGGCCGGGGCTTTCATGGAAGGTATCTTACTCGCACCATCTTCGTGCTTGTTATGGCAAATTGGAAAGTCATCTACCGAAGATGGTTGCAGGAACATACATAAATAATTATGTGCCACAGTCCAGGCTCCATCAGGAAAGTGGGAGCCTACGTGACGAGGTGGTCGAGTGGTTAAGGCGATGGACTGCTAACTTATTGTGCTCTGCACGCGTGGGTTCAAATCCCATCCTTGACGTTCAATTGAGAGAGCCAAGTGCTTTCGTGGAAGATGTTTTACTCTCACCCTCTTAGCGTTTTGAAGGAGGTTGTTGCAAGATTTAATTTCATATTTACCAAAAATAGTTGCAAATACTTACATACATGCCACAGCACAGCCCCCACCAGGAAACTGGGTAAATTCATGACGAGGTTGCCAAGCGGTTAAGGGGATGGACTGCTAATCCACGCGTGGGTTCAATCCCATCCTCGTCGTTCAATTTTTCAGAGAGCCTGGTGCTTCCGCTGAAGTTTTCTGACAACATTCTGAAGATTGTCATGGTTCAGGTGAATCCAACCTGCTGCATGTTTAGTGAAACAACTCTGGCGCAAATTGCAGCATGTTCAAGATCCAGACACTCAGCTATTCTTTTGAACAGAACATTGAGCCTTCTAGGAGGCTGTCAAAAATTGCCAGAGCTGACTGTATTTCAAGCCATCTCGGCGGGGTATTGGGTAAAGTTTTCAACCAGCAATGATCACGCCTCGGCTAGGCCTCATAGGCTATGATATTGCCTCTGCGGAAGAATACCAATCTCAACAATGAACTCTTATATCTACCAATCTGGACATGAAACGACAAGGTGGTATCAAACTTTAAACTGCTAGCCATCAGCCTTCTGGCACCAATGAGTGCATGCTGTGTCAGTAGAACAGGTTATTGAAATGCCTAAAAAGAATTACTTATACACTGTTTCATTTTAACTTAAAGAAAAGTTTACACTACTTTTGTGAATCTGGGAGAAGAGAACTGTGGGTAATGTGGTAAAGGGGGCGGAGTCACAACGCTGAACGGCCGAGAAAATGGCTGAGATTGGGATGCATTTACTGGGCTGTGCAGGGATTGGGGTAAAATAATGAAGCATGCAAGGGCACTGAAATCATATTTGCACACAAATCCAGGGTCAGCTATGCTGCCGTTTTTAGACTCAGGCATTTTGTCTAGTTTCTCTCCAACAAAACCGGAAGAAACGCATTGAAGTCAATGTTGAACAATAACTATGGGGCACTGATTCGAGCTATTGAAAAGCTCCTTATGACAAGCTTTAGCTGCATCTTTTTCGTAAGAACCCCCAAGAAACAACAAAGTCCAACTTCCTGCACAACAAGCAGGTAACCTGAGACGAGGTGGCTGAGTGGCTAGGGTAAAAGACTGCTAATCCCTGGTGCTCTGCTCGCGCGGGTTTGAGTCCCATCCTTGTTGCTCGTCCAACTAAAAGTTAAACCTTCCTCTGGCACAAAGTTGTGCTTGCGCATGATGAGGTGGCCGAGTGCTTAGGTTAGTACGCTGTACTCTGCAAGCTTAAATCCCATCCTCGTTGTTTTGGGAGAGGCCACTGCTTCTGTCTAAGGTTTCTTACTTGCACCTCTTAGCGTCTTAAAGGACGTTATGGCAAAAACTTTATGTAATATGTAGCGAAATTAGCGGCAAAAACATACGTACACGCCACAGTCCAGCCTCCATCAGGAAAGCGTATGTATGCGAGAGGAGGGGGCCGAGTGGATAAGGCGATGGCCTGCTAATCCATTGTGCTCTGCATGTGTGCGGTTTAATCCCGTCGTCGTTGTTCATTCAAGAGAGCCCAGTGCTTCCGTGGAAGGTTTCTTACTCTCACCCTCTTAGTGCTTCGAAGCATGTTATGGCAAAATTGAAAGTCATTTGGCCGAAATTAGTTGCAGAAACATACATAAACAAATATGTGCCACAGTCTAGCCTCCCTCAGAATGGTGGGAACATATGTGACGAGGTGGCCGAGTGGTTAAGGCGATGGACTGCTAATCCATTGTGCTCTGCACGCGTGGGTTCGAATCCCATCCTCGTCGTTTGTTTAGGAGAGGCCGGGGCTTTCATGGAAGGTATCTTACTCGCACCATCTTCGTGCTTGTTATGGCAAATTGGAAAGTCATCCACCGAAGATGGTTGCAGGAACATACATAAATAATTATGTGCCACAGTCCAGGCTCCATCAGGAAAGTGGGAGCCTACGTGACGAGGTGGTCGAGTGGTTAAGGCGATGGACTGCTAACTTATTGTGCTCTGCACGCGTGGGTTCAAATCCCATCCTTGACGTTCAATTGAGAGAGCCAAGTGCTTTCGTGGAAGATGTTTTACTCTCACCCTCTTAGCGTTTTGAAGGAGGTTGTTGCAAGATTTAATTTCATATTTACCAAAAATAGTTGCAAATGCTTACATACATGCCACAGCACAGCCCCCACCAGGAAACTGGGTAAATTCATGACGAGGTTGTCAAGCGGTTAAGGGGATGGACTGCTAATCCACGCGTGGGTTCAATCCCATCCTCGTCGTTCAATTTTTCAGAGAGCCTGGTGCTTCCGCTGAAGTTTTCTGACAACATTCTGAAGATTGTCATGGTTCAGGTGAATCCAACCTGCTGCATGTTTAGTGAAACAACTCTGGCGCAAATTGCAGCATGTTCAAGATCCAGACACTCAGCTATTCTTTTGAACAGAACATAGAGCCTTCTAGGAGGCTGTCAAAAATTGCCAGAGCTGACTGTATTTCAAGCAATCTCGGCGGGGTATTGGGTAAAGTTTTCAACCAACAATGATCACGCCTCGGCTAGGCCTCATAGGCTATGATATTGCCTCTGCGAAAGAATACCAATCTAAACAATGAACTCTTATATCTACCAATCTGGACATGAAACGACAAGGTGGTATCAAACTTTAAACTGCTAGCCATCAGCCTTCTGGCACCAATGAGTGCATGCTGTGTCAGTAGAACAGGTTGTTGAAAAGCCTAAAAAGAATTACTTATACACTGTTTCATTTTAACTTAAAGAAAAGTTTACACTACTTTTGTGAATCTGGGAGAAGAGAACTGTGGGTAATGTGGTAAAGGGGGCGGAGTCACAACGCTGAACGGCCGAGAAAATGGCTGAGATTGGGATGCATTTACTGGGCTGTGCAGGGATTGGGGTAAAATAATGAAGCATGCAAGGGCACTGAAATCATATTTGCACACAAATCCAGGGTCAGCTATGCTGCCGTTTTTAGACTCAGGCATTTTGTCTAGTTTCTCTCCAACAAAACCGGAAGAAACACATTGAAGTCAATGTTGAACAATAACTATGGGGCACTGATTCGAGCTATTGAAAAGCTCCTTATGACAAGCTTTAGCTGCATCTTTTTCGTAAGAACCCCCAAGAAACAACAAAGTCCAACTTCCTGCACAACAAGCAGGTAACCTGAGACGAGGTGGCTGAGTGGCTAGGGTAAAAGACTGCTAATCCCTGGTGCTCTGCTCGCGCGGGTTTGAGTCCCATCCTTGTTGCTCGTCCAACTAAAAGTTAAACCTTCCTCTGGCACAAAGTTGTGCTTACGCATGATGAGGTGGCCGAGTGCTTAGGTTAGTACGCTGTACTCTGCAAGCTTAAATCCCATCCTCGTTGTTTTGGGAGAGGCCACTGCTTCTGTCTAAGGTTTCTTACTTGCACCTCTTAGCGTCTTAAAGGACGTTATGGCAAAAACTTTATGTAATATGTAGCGAAATTAGCGGCAAAAACATACGTACACGCCACAGTCCAGCCTCCATCAGGAAAGCGTATGTATGCGAGAGGAGGGAGCCGAGTGGATAAGGCGATGGCCTGCTAATCCATTGTGCTCTGCATGTGTGCGGTTTAATCCCGTCGTCGTTGTTCATTCAAGAGAGCCCAGTGCTTCCGTGGAAGGTTTCTTACTCTCACCCTCTTAGTGCTTCGAAGCATGTTATGGCAAAATTGAAAGTCATTTGGCCGAAATTAGTTGCAGAAACATACATAAACAAATATGTGCCACAGTCTAGCCTCCCTCAGAAAGGTGGGAACATATGTGACGAGGTGGCCGAGTGGTTAAGGCGATGGACTGCTAATCCATTGTGCTCTGCACGCGTGGGTTCGAATCCCATCCTCGTCGTTTGTTTAGGAGAGGCCGGGGCTTTCATGGAAGGTATCTTACTCGCACCATCTTCGTGCTTGTTATGGCAAATTGGAAAGTCATCTACCGAAGATGGTTGCAGGAACATACATAAATAATTATGTGCCACAGTCCAGGCTCCATCAGGAAAGTGGGAGCCTACGTGACGAGGTGGTCGAGTGGTTAAGGCGATGGACTGCTAACTTATTGTGCTCTGCACGCGTTGGTTCAAATCCCATCCTTGACGTTCAATTGAGAGAGCCAAGTGCTTTCGTGGAAGATGTTTTACTCTCACCCTCTTAGCGTTTTGAAGGAGGTTGTTGCAAGATTTAATTTCATATTTACCAAAAATAGTTGCAAATGCTTACATACATGCCACAGCACAGCCCCCACCAGGAAACTGGGTAAATTCATGACGAGGTTGCCAAGCGGTTAAGGGGATGGACTGCTAATCCATGCGTGGG